GCTGTATACCAATAGTTCATTCTATATGACTTTAATAAGTGTAATGGAGAGATTTACAGGTTTGGGAGGGTTACAGATAGTGAGAGTAAGCATATATTGTTTACAATGTTTTACAAATGTTCATGACATTGAGAATATTCATTTATAGCTTTTACATACAGCCTCTTCTCATTAACGACATAGTTCCGTTCCTACGACCATGTCGGTAAACGAATTCGTCGCTAAGTGAGGAGCATACTATAATGGTAGTGGGTTTGTGTCAACATCTTTGATATTGTTTTAATGTCACCTTTTCACCATTTATAACATTTCTGGTATATTTTTAAATGTTTATACAGTAGTGTACTGTATATTGTAATAAACAGAATAGAGAAAATCAGCTCTAGTATACATTATTTAGACATGCATACTGGTCAGAGAGCCCGTCATAAGTCTGAGGCATTGGTAAATGAGTACATTGCTAAGTGAGGAGAGGCTGTATTTAGTTGATGCTAGTATGTAACAGGAGTAAGAGGAGATTCCACAACATCAGATGAATACCACCACCCAGGATAACCTACACCATTTCTTCAATATCAGAAAACCATCCTGGGCCTTACATACTCCTGCACCAACATCTTACTAGAATCACAATGGCCAAATTTTATTCTTATTTAATTTTAATTAAAAGCCATGAAAAGCAATCTTCCTTATTATACCTTGAGTCGATTATTTATTTATTTTTCCATTTTTTTTTTTTTGATCAGGCAGAAGGCGTTCCCCTGACAGTACAAAAAAAAAATCCTGTGGGGTCAGTGTGCACAGTATAAAAGAAATCCTGCAGCACACAGTGAATAATGAGAAAAAAACTGTGACAGTGTCTTGGGTTTAAAACAGCAACTTTGTGGTGTGTTATTTGTATAGTATTTATGGCTGTACGTATTCTCATTTTCTTGGTCTCATTTGATTATTATTATTATTTTTTTTTTTTATTATCACACTGGCCGATTCCCACCAAGGCAGGGTGGCCCGAAACAGAAAAACTTTCACCATCATTCACTCCATCACTGTCTTGCCAGAAGGGTGCTTTACACTACAGTTTTTAAACTGCAACATTAACATTCTGAATGGTTTACAGAATAAAAGTAGCTTGAAATTGAGCTCAAAGTACCAGAAATGTTCGATTTTGCCGATGTTCATGAGTAAACAGATCACATCATGTGTCCAACACACATCAACAGGTGGGTCTAATATGCATTCATGAATGGGCTGATATTATTTATTCAATTATACAGTAGTCTGAATGACAGTAAATCTTCTATTTTTTGTATTTACCTGGAGTTTACCTGGAGAGAGTTCCGGGGGTCAACGCCCCCGCGGCCCGGTCTGTGACCAGGCCTCCTGGTGGATCAGAGCCTGATCAACCAGGCTGTTGCTGCTGGCTGCACGCAAACCAACGTACGAGCCACAGCCCGGCTGGTCAGGAACCGACTTTAGGTGCTTGTCCAGTGCCAGCTTGAAGACTGCCAGGGGTCTGTTGGTAAAAATTAAAAATAGAAAGTTAGTGTAATATAAGAAAAGCCTGGAGACATGATTGATGAGCAGAGAAAATGTTATTTTAGTGCTAGGAATGTTTGCATTGTTTATTCTGGACCTTATTTTGAAATTGGTCTTCATTGAATTTTGTGTGAAATTGGCCAAATTAGTAGTTTCTGGTCACTTTATTGGGTATTTGAAATAGGTAAAGGGGCGGTTTCTTGTACTCAATCGATAACATAAAAGGAGTTCAAGTGAAATAGCTATGAGTTTGGTCAACTGGAACAATGGAATCGGCCCAGTATAGACCTCAAATTGGATGAAATCATTGATGCATAAATATGGCTGAGACCGTTAACTTCGTGAGAGCGGAATTCCGGAAGCTTTCCATCAGATTTCACACTTTCATTATCTTTGGAAAAAGATTCTCTATAATTTCATTACAAAATATGATTTTTTTTTTTTTAATTCTTTGACGCTGGGAGCAAGTTTGTGAGTAGGGGTCACGACACTCAAAGGGTTAAGGTTAAGGGTTAAGGACCTTAAATTCCAATATTAACCTTGACCTAAAACGCTTTCTTGATAGTTGTGACAGAACCCACAGGCACAACACCAGACACAAACATCTCTATGACATTCCCTGTGTCCGACTAAACCTTTACAAAAATTCAATGTATGTCAAAGGCCCTAAAATCTGGAACACCCTACCTGAAAATTCCAAAACTGCAGACACATTCATCACCTTCAAAACTACCATCAGAAAACATCTTATCTCCCTGATACACCCTGTCAACTAATAATACGAATACCACCTGGTGGTTCACACTTACACTCACTCACCCATTTGACCATAAACAGAAATATCAATCTCAATCTCAAAATAATGAATCTTAACTAGTCATAAGTTGGCCTGTGATACTCCAATACCGAAACTATGTATAGTGCCAAAACAAAAGCATTCACATTGCTAAACTCACAACTAGTATTTAGTCACTTAGCCATAATACCAACTTACCTCATAATTTTGTAATACAGTGGACCCCCGGTTAACGATATTTTTTCACTCCAGAAGTATGTTCAGGTGCCAGTACTGACCGAATTTGTTCCCATAAGGAATATTGTGAAGTAGATTAGTCCATTTCAGACCCCCAAACATACACGTACAAACACACTTACATAAATACACTTACATAATTGGTCGCATTCGGAGGTAATCGTTATGCGGGGGTCCACTGTATTTTAAACTTAAGATTTAATATAAGTCTGCCCAAAATGCCTAGCCATGCTAGGTGTTCTAGTGGTACACTCTGTAATTATTATTTTACTACATGTAAACCACACAATAACCAAATTCTGTAAACTCAGCATTGTAATCCTTATAGAGAATAAACTTTGAATTTGAATTGAATTGAATTGAATGTATGTACAGTGCACTAAGACGTTATAGGTGGGATGAGGGAGGTAGGAAAGGAAGCTAGGCCTCCCCTGACAAAGACAATGGCCTGATAGGCAGGCTGCCTTTGAGCCCACTAGATGGAGGGGAAAAATCCAGCTGTCTGGGTGGCGGTATTCCCCAGAAGTGGCCGTTTTTGTTGAATTGTACAGAGTGCTAGTTGAAAATATGCCACAGTTTTGCTGTAGTGTAATAAAGAAAACATGATAAAGGAACATGTGTTAATTGACAGTCTACTATTGAAACACTCAGTTGGTTAGATGCATCAGCATTGAAAGTCTGAAGCTGTTCAGAAGAGGCATTCTCCAATTATTATACAGAATAAATTAAAAATCAGATTTGCAAATTTGCACCTACAGAGTTCAACAATAGTTTGAGCTTTCCTTTAGTAAGATACACCAGCACTGAATTCTTGAAACCCATCAGAAAAGGCATTCTTAACCCTTTGACTGTCGCGGCCGTATATATACGTCTTACGGGGTACCGTGTTTGACGTATATATACTCATAAATTCTAGCGGCTTCAAATCAAGAAGGAGAAAGCTGGTAGGCCCACATGTGAGAGAATGGGTCTGTGTGCACCACATAAAAAAAATCCTGGAGCACGCAGTGCATAATGAGAAAAAAAAAACTCCGACCGTTTTTTTTAATTAAAATGCCGACTTTGTGGTCTATTTTCGTATAGTATTTATGGTTGTATTCTCGTTTTCTTGGTCTCATTTGATAGAATGGAAAACATATTATAGAAAAAGAGATGATTTTGATTGATTTTACTATAAAAAGAACCTGGAAATGGAGCTCAAAGCAGGGGAAATGTTTGATTTTTGCCGATGTTCAAAAGTAAACAAATGACATCATTATCCAATAAATGTCCAACTAGCCATTCTAATATGCAGTCATGAATGGGTTGATGTTATTTATACAATTATTACAGTATTGGAGTAATCTGCATAATAGTAAATTTTCTATTTTTTGTTTGAATAAAAATTCAAAATAGAAAGCAAGAGTAATATCAGAGGGGCCTGGAGACATGACTGATGAACAAAGAAAATGTTATTTTAGAGTCAGGAATGTCTGCATTGTTCATTCTGGACTTTATTTTGAAATTGTCATATTTTTGAATTTTCGTGAAATTGGCCAAATTGCAAATTTCTGACGATGTTATTGGGTAGTTGAAATTGGTAAATGGGCAGTTTCTTGTACTCAATCGATAGAAAAAACAGTTCTAAAGAAATAGCTATGAGTTTGGTCGACTGGAACAATGGAATTAGCCGAAAATAGGGTTCAAAGTGGGCGAAATCGCCAATTTGTAAATATTGCCAAGGTTGCTAACTTTGCGAGAGCGTAATTCCGTCAGTTTTCCATCAAATTTCGTTTTTTGGTGTCATTACAATCGGGAAAAGATTCTCTATTATTTCATAAGAAAAAATAATTTTTTTTTTTTTTGAAATTTTGCGACACCAGGAGAGACACCTCAGGATTGGGGTTGCGACAGTCAAGGGGTTAAGCTGCCGTGCAGAAATTTTTGGGTAAGGAAAAAATCTGATGACCATTCTCTATAGTGGATGTCAGATTTTTTTCCTTCTCCCTAACCTTGCTGTACCTATATGGAATTTCTTGTCAGATGATACCTAAATGAAGATAATACTGTGTATCAATTTAAAAGTTAATTTCATTTGAGAGTATAGGTACTAACAGTAAGTAGTGCAGGTTGAGGGAGTCAAATAGAACTCTAACATATTTTTATGTTCTTAGAAATATTTTTGGCAGTTTAATTTATTTATCTTTTTGCATTTAAAATTTGGGAGAATCAGTTTCAGTTACTTATTTGGGAGTAAATATTTGATTCAAGATTGTGTAGATTAATATTATAAAATAATTGAAGTGAATCATAAATAGAAGGTGCAAGATGGATAATACTTAACCTCAGTCGTTATATTATTTGAAAGCTGTTTTACAATGTCTTGGATAAGCAAACACTGTACCGCACTCCAAAGCAGCCACCATTATTAAAAGCAGTTTCTGTCTTTCAGAATATTGGCACTTGAGTTTTCATCAAAGAGAAAAGAAGAATATGGCACAGCAGTATATACTGCTCGAGATATGTCAGTGATACCATTCACGGTATGTGATGCAGCTGTTTCACAGACAAGGGTTTTTAGAGTTAGCTGTTGGGGTTGTCATTTTTTTTTTTTTATACTGTACAGGAGGGCCCCACTTGTATGGTGGGTTAGATTCCAGGCTACTGCTGTAAAGCAAAAATTGCTGTAAAGCTAATCACCCTTTTTTCACTTTTACATGCATATAAATACCTGATAACATGTTATCACATACAGTGGAACCTCAATATTCATACATCCCTATATTCATACAACTTGATACTTGCTCGACTTTTTTTTGAGAAAAATTTGACTTGGTATTCGGACGTTACCCAGATATTCAACCTAAACAAAATGGTCCATCTGGACGAAGTCTGACAAAAACAAAGCATCATACGCTCAGTTTCTCATCAGCTTTCATTCATTAAGCATCGTTTGTACAAGCCCTGTGAAACTTTTTGGTATTTCATTGTTATTCTGTGGTGTTTTTGAAATATTTTCATTGGAAATAAGTAATCATGGCCCCCTAAAAAGAGTAGTAATCCAAACAAACCTAAAAGGAAAGCAGTGAGAACAACAAAGTGAGAAAAGAACTCATTGTGAAATGGGAAAGTGGGACATGTGTGTTGGACCTGGCCACTTAATATGGTATGGTGAAATAAACTAGTATCATCCACATTGAAAAATAAAGAGGCAATACAAGGGGCTGATGTAGCAAAAGGAGTGAAATTTTTTGCTGTTAAAAGGTCACAGATAATTGAAGAAATGAGAAAACTTTTGTTAGTGTGGATTAACAAAAAACAATTGGCTGGTGAGAAGGTTTCTGAAACAATAATTTGTGAGAATGGAAAGCAGTTATGTAATGATCTTATGCAAGACACCACGGGAAACTGCTGAAAGTAGGGGATGGTTTGATAGGTTTAAAAAGAAGAGTGGGATTCATAGTATAGTAAGGCATGGGGAGGCTGCCAGTGCTAACAGGGATGAGGCTGAAAAGTGTGTTAGGGCATTTAAAACCTATGTAGACATTGCGGGATTTATTCCTGAATAAGTTTTTAATTGTGATGAAACCAGCCTCTTTTGGAAAAGAATGTCTAAGAGAACCTACATCACACAAAAAGAAAAATCGTTACCAGGTCACATGCCCATAAAAGACAGGCTGACACAAAATTAAACCATTGCTAGTCTACCACTCTGAAAATTCAAGGGTGTTTTAAGAAAAAATAAACAGTGTAATGTGGAGGGCTAATAGTAAAGCTTGGGTAACAAGACAGTTCTTCACTGAGTGGATACATGAAGTATTTGCCCCAAGTGGAAAAAAAATTACCATTAAGGCCACTTCTAGTAATGGACAGTGCTCCTGCTCACCCTCCAAGCTTGCAGGAAAATTTGGTGGATGAATACAGCTTCATTAAAGTGAAATTCTTGCCCCCCGTTACACTACTCCTCTTATCCAACCCATGGACCAGCAGGTAATTTCCAATTTTAAGAAACTTTACACAAAAGCACTGTTTAAAAGGTGCTTTGAAGTGAATTCTGAAACAGAGCTTACCCTTAGGGAATTTTGGAAAATCCATTGTTATATCCTCTAGTGTTTAAGATAATAGGCAGAGCCTGGGGGAAGTTTCTTTCAGGAAAATGACATACCTTGACATACCTTGTTCATTGGGTTTAACCCTTTCAGGGTCCAGTGTGCACCTAGGTCCAAGAATTTTCAGAAAAAAAATTGTTATTTTTTCTTATGAAATGGTAGAGAATTTTTTTCTGAAGGTAATAAAGCAAAAAGTACAAAATTTGATGGAAAATTGACGAAATTATGCTCTCGTGAATTTTGATGTGTCAGCGATATTTACGCATCGGTGATTTTGCCGTCTTTGACTCCCAGTTTAGGCCAATTACATTATTCCAGTTGACCAAATTCTTAGCTATTTCACTAGTACTATTACTTCTATTCTATCGAATGAGCACACGAAATCACCAAGTCAACTGTTTCAACTACAAAATAAAGTGATCGAAAATTGGTAATTTGGCCAGTTTAATGCAAAGTTCAAAATACATTCCAATTTCAAAATAGGAGTCCAGAATAAACAATGCAGGCATTCCTGACACTAAACTAACATTTCCTTTGTTCACTAGTTATGTTTTCAGGCTTTACAAATGAATTCCATTTTGATTTTTTATTCACAATGAATTTTTATTCAAACCAAGAAATAGAAGATTTACTGTTATGCAATATTGTAATAATTGTATAAATAATATCACCACATTTGCAAACGTATATTTGACCCACCAGCTGGCATGTATTAGACGTGTGAGGTCATTTGTTTACTCTTGAACATCGGCAAAAATTTAACATTTCTGCTACTTTGAGCTCAGTTTCAAGCCATTTCCACTACTAAAACCATTTCTGTAATATATCTTCCATTCTATCAAATGAGACCAAGAAATCGCAAATACAACTATAAAAAAATATGAAAAAACACTGCAAAGTCGCTGTTTTAATATAAAAATTAATCTCATTTTTTCTCTCATTATGCACTGTGTGCTGCAGGATTTGTTTTATGTGGTGCATACATACCACATAGATGTATTCTCTCATATCTAGGCCCAAATTTATCGCTCACAGCTTATCAGAGTGAGCTGATCTCATGGCGTAGATCTACGGTTTGAACCCTCAACTCAAGGCCGTAGAACTACAGCACGGACCCTGAAAGGGTTAAAGATGGATTAATGAAAATGTCTATAATAAGGTAATACATGACATTTAAAGCACCCCAGAGCAATTATCAATATTATTAGTATGGTTATCGTGTCTTCAACACTAGTGAGACTTAGTGATTTTAATGTACATGTACCTGCATGCCAGCACAGTGTGTAAGTTTATCTAGGTACAGGTACACATAAGTACAGTTATCAGAGTATTAATAAAATCCACAATAACTCTAAATTTTGGAAAGTTTCCAGACATCATGAATTCTAACATTAACCCTGAACTAAAACACTTTCTTGATAGTTGCAACAGGACCCCTAAACACAAAAATCTCTCTGACATTTCTTAGTGTCCAGCTAAACCTCAACAAAAATTCGATGTACATAAAAGGGCCTGCCTGAAAACTCTAGAACTGCAGACTCAACCACCATTTTCAAAACTACTGTTAAAAAACATCGTATCTCCCTAACACACTCCATCATCAGCTAGCCAAATGAAAACCACCTAATTCTCTTTTTTTTTTTTTGTATCATGAACACATCCAAAACAATATACGTAGTCTTACTCTCATTATCTGTGATTGCCCCTAATTTACGCTTACACCCACCCAAATGACTGTAAACATAAAAATTCCTGATATAGCTATTACCTATTAAATCTTAAATTAGTCCTAAGTTTGTCTACGATACTCTTCCAATATATGAGCTTAAATGGAAACAGTGTATCATGCCAAGACAAATCCAATCCCACTACTAAATTTACCATTTGTAATATTGTTATATGTTTTGTACTAACTCACTATTATAAATCTAATTATGTATGTATCTAATTATATATGCATCTAATTAAATATGTATCTAATTATGTATGTATCTAATAATGTAAGTTAAAATGTACTGCTCCATAACCTTTATCAATATAGAGTAAGAATTAGTATTAGTCTGCCCGAATTCCTAGTCATGCTAGTGGCCTTCTTTGGAATTAATATTTTATAACATGTAAATCACACATTGTAAGCTTTACAAGGAAATAAACATTTTCATTTTCATAATGGAGAGATGCAGAGCTCATAGAGGATGTAAATCGAGTGGCACTCAGACGATGTAATAGTGAATCAGGGCGCCATATAAACAAATTTTTTATAGTTTGAAATGTCCCTATTAACCTTTTCACTGTCGGTCCCTTAATATTATGGCTTGCAAGCGAGTGTCAGTCCCGTATTACTATGCCAAAATTCTAGCAGCTTCCAGTCTTGTGCGAGAAAGCTGGTAGGCTTATAGTATATGAGAGAATGGGTCTGAGTGGTCAGTGTGCACAGTATAAAAAATCCTGCAGCACACAATGTATAATGAGAAAAAAAAAACTCCGACCGTGTTTTTAGCTTAAAACAGTGACTTTGCGGTGTATTTTTATATGGTATTTATGGTTGTATTCTCATTTTCTTGGTCTCATTTGATAGAATGCAAGGTATATTACAGAAATAGAGATGATTTGGAATGGTTTACAGAGTAAAAGTGCCTTGAAATTGAGCTTAAAGAAGTGGAAATGTTCGATTTTTGCCAATGTTCAAGAGTAAACAAATCACGTCATGCATCCAATACACATCCACTGGTGGGTCTAATATGCTTTCACAAATGTGCTGATATTATTTATACCATTTTTACAATAGTGCAGTAGTCTGCATAGCAGTAAATTTTCTATTTTTGGTGTGAATAAAAATTCAAAATGGAAAGCAAGTGCAATATAAGAGGGGCCTGGAGATGTGACTAATGAACAGAGAAAATGTTATTTTAGTGCTAGGAATGTTTGCATTGTTGATTCTGGACCCTATTTTGAAACTGGTCTTCTTGAATTGTGTATGAAATTGGCCAAATTACCAATTTCTGATCACTTTATTGGGGAGTTGAAATCGGTAAATGGGCGGTTTCTTGTACTCAGTCAACAGAACAAGAAAAGTTCTAGCGAAATAGCTATGGGTTTGGTTGACTGGAACAGTGGAATTGGCCGAAAATAGGGATCAAACTGGGCAAAATCGCTGATGCGTAAATATTGCTGAGACCACTAACTTCGCAAGAGCGTAATTCCATAAGTTTTCCACCAAATTTCATACTTTTGGTGTCATTACCATCATGAAAAGATTCTCTATCATTTTATAAGAGAAAATAATTTTTTTTTAAATTCGTCGACACTGAGAACAAGTTTGTGAAGAGCAGTCTCGACAGTGAAAAGGTTAATGAATCACGAAGGCATAAAGTGTGGCCCTCCCCTTCTGTGTTATGGTAAAGCATCTAAAGTACATAGTAAAATGAGCTTGAAAACTTTGATGTGCTATAGGGGGGTGATGGTGTCTGGTAATTCTGACTGTTAAAACTGAATAATGACATTGTTTTGCCATGACTAAGACAGTAATGGATGATTACTCACACACCCTTCAACTCACACACCCCTTGTACTCATACACCCTTCAACTCACACACCCTTCAACTCGCACACCCTTCAACTCACACACCCTTCAACTCGCACATCCCTTGTACTCATACACCCTTCAACTCACACACCCTTCAACTCACACATCCTTCAACTCACACACCCTTCATCTCACACACCCTTTCAACTCACACACCCTTCAACTCACACACCCCTTGTACTCATACACCCTTCAACTCACACACCCTTCAACTCGCACATCCCTTGTACTCATACACCCTTCAACTCACACACCCTTCAACTCACACATCCTTCAACTCACACACCCTTCAACTCACACACCCTTTCAACTCACACATCCTTCAACTCACACACCCTTTCAACTCACACATCCTTCAACTCACACACCCTTCATCTCACACACCCTTTCAAAATCACACATCCCTTCAACTCACACACCCTTCATCTCACACACCCTTTCAACTCACACACCTTCAACTCACAACCCCTTGTACTCATACACCCTTCAACTCACACACCCTTCAACTCGCACATCCCTTGTACTCATACACCCTTCAACTCACACACCCTTCAACTCACACATCCTTCAACTCACACACCCTTCATCTCACACACCCTTTCAACTCACACATCCCTTCAACTCACACATCCTTCAACTCACACACCCTTCAACTCACACACCCTTTCAACTCACACACCCTTCAACACGCACACCCTTCAATGCGCACACCCTTCAATGCGCACACCCTTAAACTCACACACCCTTCAACTCACACACCCTTCAACTCGCACATCCCTTGTACTCATACACCCTTCAACTCATAAACCCTTTTAACTCACACCCCTTCATCTCACCTGTGCAACTCATTCCCACACCCCTACACCTCATTCTCACACCCTTACAACTCACTCCCATACCCCTGCAACTCATTCCCACACCCCTACAACTCATTATCCCAACAACTCATTGTCACACCCCTACAACTAATTCCCATATGCATACAGCTCATTCTCACACCCTTGCAGGTCAATCCCACACCCCTACAACTCATTCTCACACCCTTGCATCTGATTCCCACACCCCTACAACTCATTCTCACACCCCTACAACTCACTGCCACACCCCTACAAATGCATTCCTACATCCCTTCAACTCACTGCCACTGCTCTACAACTCATTCCCAAACCCGTAGAGCTCACTGCCACAGCCCTACAACTCATTCCCAAAACTCATTTCTGCCCCACTACAACTCTCACACTCATACAAGTCACTTCCACACGCATACACCTCACTCCCACACATTTTTCACATTCTTTTAAGTATTTCCCAAACCGTTCCCACACATTTACTAATCACCCACACTTCTAGACCTTCACCCCACAGTCATACAAACTTGGAGCAGAGATACCTCTCTCTTGCTGGCACTGCTGCCAAATATACATCTAGGTACTGTATTTGGTAGGATACTGTATTTGAAAAATAATGGAGTATGTTTTTGTGTGTTAATGGTAAGCCTGTTTATTATTATCCAGGTTTATAACTGTTTTTAGTTAATCATTTGTAGCTGATTGAGAAATTCTAGCCACAAGTTTTCTGCACATGAGTGAAAGTAGTTCTCATATTTGCTGAGACCGCTAACTTCACAAGAGCGTAATTCCATAGGTTTTCCATCAAATTTCATACTTCATGTCTAGGTTTTAATATTATTGTGTCATTCATGTTGTTTGTTAGTCCGAATCCAAATTTGCAGAGTTAGTTGACTGTATCAGCTGTTAAGATTTTGCATTTTTTAATATAATAATAATAAAGGGGGTTAGTAGAATGCGCTCACTTAAATAAGGTTTAAGCCGGGAGGTGACTTGAACCTGCCTTGCATGGGCCAGTAGGCCTGCTGCAGTTTTCCTTCTTTCTTATGTTCTTATAGTTGCTTTTTCAAATAGATTTCTTAATTTGTAATTATTGACATCATCTAAACCAGGAACATTGGTTTAGTGCATTAAATTGATTTCTTATGGCAAATTTTAATAGAGTTATCTTTGTTCAGGTATTTTTAAACCCTCAACTGGAGGTTACTGACTTCAAGAAAGTTGTGTTTCCTGAGTCATGTGAGAGTTTAAGAGGATACAGTGGTGTTGTGCCTCGCTACCAAGCAGTGAGATTAACAGGTACGTGTCAATGATTGCATGACTTCCATCTTCAGTTAATGTAGTCTTATAATGGCTGTATAGCCACTGAGCCAATGAGGGAAGCCCCGGACTCAATAGAGAGAGAGCTTCAATGTGTGTTCACTGTCTCTCTATCCCTCACTGCCTCTCCATATCTCACTGCTCCTCCATCCCTCACTGCCTCTCCAATCCTCACTGCCTCCTCTCACTGATTCACTTTGTCCCCTCACTACTGCCTCTCATGATTCACTTCCTCCTCTTACTGAGTCACTTCCTCCCCTCATTGCCTCTCCAATCCTCACTGCCTCTCTTCACTGATTCATGGCCTCCCTCCCTGCCCCTCCATCCCTCCCTTTTATTCGAAGACATGGTCAAAGATGTGTACTGTAGATTATTATTTACATTATGTTAGTTATTGGGTGGCAGGGAAGGATGGGTGGAAGGTGCTGGGTGGAAGGGAAGGATGGGTGGAAGGCATTATGCTCAGTGTTGAGTTTTATCAAGGAATGACTTGATAAATCACAACACAGTGTGGAACAACATCAAAATAAACACTTGCTTTACATTCTCTCCTTGCTTTCCAGAGACAAGTTCATTCATGACTAAAAACTGCTTTTTTTTTTTCAGGAGTTGATCGAAATGGAGAACCTATAATACTGGAAAGCAGAGGCTGGATATCCAGAATAATACAGCATGAAATGGATCACCTTGATGGGAAATTATATATTGATCTTATGGATCCTAAAAGTTTTCAAAATGATGCATGGCACAAAATCAATGTACACCAAGGAAGAATTCAAATAAATTTCTATAAAAAATAACCAGTTATGAAGTAACATTTGTTCTGAATAATTTATATTGTAGAACTGTAATATAAAATAATTAAAGTTCAAAATTTATTATTCTGTATTATTATCACTTTGTGCTGTATGAAATTTGTGGGTTTAGCACTTATTATAATAATAATACTATAATTATCTATTTTTTTCATGGGGAAGTGGAACAGAATTCTTCCTCCGTAAGCCATGCGTGTCGTAAGAGGCGACTAAAATGCCGGGAGCAAAGGGCTAGTAACCCCTTCTCCTGTACATATTACTAAATTTAAAAGGAGAAACTTTCGTTTGTCCTTTTGGGCCACCCCACCTCAGTGGGATATGGCTGGTGCGTTGAAAGAAAGAAGAATTATTTATTTGTAGCTACAGAAGAGTGAAGTCAATCAAAAATTTTTTATAAGACTTCTGTGGTTATAGCACTTACTACTGCCTCTTGTAATTCATTCCGTAGATCTGTCGATCTATGAAAAAATCCTAATCTTCCTTCAGGAGCTCCTCTCCTTTAATTTGTATATATGTACATTTTTAACATGTTGGCTGTCTCCCACCAAGGCAGAGAGACCCAAGAAAGAAGCACATTCACAATCTTGCCAGAGGCATGCAGATATGACAATTTAGATGTCCCTCTAAAAAGCAAATGTCCCAAACTCGTCCTTTAGAATGCAGGCACTATACTTCCCACTTCCAGGACTCAAGCTAGGCTAACAGGTTTCCCTGAATCCCTTCACAAAATATTACCCTGCTCATACTCCAACGGCTCGTCAAGTCCCAAAAACCATTTGTCTCCACTTACTTCCATCTAACACACTCATATGTCCAAGCCCCATGCACAGAAAACCTCCTTTATCCCTCTATCCTTTCCTAGGATGACCCCTACCCCATCTTTCCTCCACTACAGATTTATACACCCTCCAGGTCCTCCTATTTTGCTCCATCTTATCTAAATGACCAAACCACCTCAACAACCCCTCCTTAGCCCTCTGGTTAATATTATAGTAACTCTGTACCTTCTCTTACTCTCCAAACTGTGAATTCTCTGCATAAAATTTATGCTATACATTGCCCTCAGACATGACATCTCCACTGCCTCCTGCCTCCTCCTCACTGCAACATTCACAACCCATGCTTCACACCCATATAAGAGTGTTGGTACCACTATACTCTCATACATTTCCCTCTTTACCTCCATGAATAATATTCTTTGTCCACACAGATATCTCAATGCACCACCCACCTTTTTTTTCTTCATCAATTCTATGGTTTACATCATCTTTCATATATCCATCTGCTAACATGTCCACTCCCAAATATCTGAATACATTCACTTCTTCCATACTCCCTCCCTCCCAATCTGATATCCAATTTTTCCTAACCGAACCCATTTGATACTCTCATCACCTTACTTTCATCTATGTTCACTTTCAGCTTCCTATACACACCCTCCCAAACTCATCCACTAACTTTTGCAACTTCTATTCAGAAACTCCCGGAAGCACAGTATCATCAACAAAAAGTAACTGCCAACTCCCATTTTGTATTAGATTCTGCATATTTTAATTCCACCCCTCTCCCTAACATCGTAGCATTTACTACTCTTACAATCCCATCTATAAATATATTAAAGAACCATGGTGGAATGCATCTCTGTCTAAGGCCTGCTTTTACACTGGAAAGTAATCTCCCTCTCTCCTATACACCCTAACCTGAGCCTCACTATCCTTATAAAAACTCTACATCATTTAGTAACTTACCACCTATTCCACACTCTTGCAACATCTGGAAGTGTATGGGAGGCGGGAGGTGGAAGGTATTCAGGCTTAATTCAGAGAACTGAAGCACAGATCCAATTCACTAGATCAAGAGCCCCTTACCAGCATCAAGGAACCTCCCTTGAGGGGGGAATGAGGAAGAGCCAGTTATAAGTGTTGGGGAAGTGAGTGAGGCAGTGGGTAGAATGAAAGGGAGTAAAGCAGCTGGGATTGATGGGATAAAACAGAAATGGTAAAAGCAGGCTGGGGTATAGTTTTGGAGTGGTTAGTGCTTTTATTTAATAAATGACCTTATTTTCACAAATAATGAGGACTGGTATTAGCATAACAATATCAAACACGACTAATTCTGATCACAATCTAATCAAAGTTCAGACTTACATGCACAAGGGTCCTGACCAGCAAAATGCACGCAGCTCTGAAGGTGTCTTCACCAAATACAACTTCAACAACAAGAACATCAACTGGGATCAGGTGAACCATGTTTTAAATGAAACATGTTGGAAAGCTTCCTTAAATAACATGGATCCAAACCAGTGCCTTGACAGGATCAACTTCCTGGCAGCTGAAGTATGTTCAAGGCATATTCCTCTAAGAAAGAAGAGGTAAACTGGTGAAAGAAAGACGCTCCCTCTACAGAAGACGATGAAGAATCACTGAGCTCCTCAAGAATGTTAGATTATCTGATATACGGAAGGAAGAGCTGACCAGGGAAGTGGAAATTATCAAACTTAAGTTAAAGATTCATGCACAATCCAGGAGAGACAGGAGCCAAAAGCAATTAGTGAAATTGAAAGAAATTTGAAAGGCATAAACCACATCTAGTAACAGGCCCTAGCTCAGACAAGATGGGACTTACAGATGACAACGATGTAATGAATGAAATACTGAAATCTCAATATGACTGTGTTTAGCGAGCCACTGATCAGTCTAAAGATCGACAATCCATATGATTTCTTCATGAATGAGCCTCAAAACTCCGTCAATGTACATCAAATTTCTGATGTTACCCTAACTCCACTAGACTTTAAGAAAGCCACTGAGCCCCAGGCTCAGACTCGTGTGACTCTGTATTCATTAAGAACTGCAAACAATCCCTTTCACATTCCCAAAGTATACTATTTATTTATTTATTTATTTATTTTTTATTTGACATCCCCCCAATGAAAAGCAGGGGTGTCACTAGCACGTTAAGAGGCAACACAATAAGTGCCAGGGGCCCAAGAGTGTTCAACTGCCTCCCAGCATACATAAGGGGGATTACCAATAGATCCCTGGCTGTCTTCAAGCAGGCACTGGACAAGCACCTAAAGTCGGTACCTGACCAGCTGGGCTGTGGCTCGTATGTTTGATTGAGTGCAGCCAGCAGTAACAGCCTGGTTGATCAGGGCCTGATCCACCAGGAGGCCTGGTCACAGACCGGGCCGTGGGGGCGCTAACCCCCGGAACTCTCTCCAGGTAAACTCCAGGTAAACATGATACATAGTTGTACAAAGAAATATAGTGATTGGGTGTACATGCCAAAAGTCTCTTGTATGCAAAGCATTGTGGGCAGGCTTATAATTAACTTAAGATTAACTAAGCAATGATATATTCAGTGGTAAAAATTACAGTAAACAAATTACAACATGAAGTACAAATGAGTGTTTCAAATAAGAAGCATTAAAGTTGTACAAATTTGTAGCATAATAATGTATAATATAATGGAATCAGATCGAGTAAAATCAATGATTTGCAGTGCGGAAACAGGTCATTTGGTCATTAGATGAGTTACTGTGCATTCAAGAGAATGGAGTATTCTATTCGGTAATGTAATTAAAAAAAAAAAACAGTTTGATAGGGTCACAGGTTATACATTCATGAAATTCAGTTATTCAGCATTTATTTAGTTGTGGTTGAGTAAGTGGTTTTTAAGAAGAGTCTTGAATTGATAAATAGACAGTATTTCTTTTATATTCACAGATAATGAATTCCAGATTTTTGGGCCTTTTATGTGCATTGAGTTTTTACAGTGTGAGAGGGACACGGGGAACATCAGAGTGATCTGTGCCTTGTGTTATGGTCATGTGTGCTGTTGAGGTTGGTAAGGAGAAGTTTGAGGGGAGGGTTTATATCCGAGTTTAGTGTTCTATGTATGCAGTAGGCACAATAATAAGTATGGATGTTTTGTATGGTAAGTTTAGAGTTTTGAATATTGGTGGAGTCTGCTGCCTGTAGTGGGGTAACCCCAAACAGTTGTCAACTAGTAAGTGTATCTCACGATTTCATGCAAAAAGAACTAAACAGGTTAAACCCAACTAAGAGCACCAGCCCAGATAACGTCCCGTCTAAGTTCCTAAAAAATGGTGCCTTTGAATTGCCAATCCCCATTGCTCGCATAATAAATTTGTCCATCACCACTAATACCATACCGGATGGGTTCATGGAGGCCAGAGTTACTCCTATCTTCAAGAAAAATAGTAGATCTGATGCGCTACCGTCCACAGGATGGATATGGGGTGCACAATAAACTAGCCACTTCGGTGGCAAAATCTAAATCTAATCTGATGCCAGCAACTATAGGCCTGTTAGTATACTCAGTATAATATCCAAAATTCTAGAGAGGGCAGTGTACTCTCAAGTAGTTAAGTACCTTAATGACAACAACATTCTCCATAACTATCAATCAGGCTTTAGTAGATCTTATTCATCCGACACCTCCCTAATTAATCTAATGGACTGCATAAAAACTAAAATGTCGACAGGGAACCTCATAGAATGATAACTTGTAAGAGGCCTTCGATACTGTCAACCACAATATATTATGTAAGAAACTTCAAGCTATCGGTATAGGTTCTGTAGACTGGTTTAAGTCCTACCTTAACAACAGGAAACAAATAGTCAAAATCAACAAAACAGAATCAGAGCCCCTGCTGATAGCATGTAGAGATCCCCCAAGATAGTATTCTGGGTCCCTTATTATTCCTGTTATGTAAACGACAGCCCATCAGCGTCAAGTGCAAACTCCTACTGTATGCAGATGACAGTGCTCTGTTAGTGTCAGGTAAAGACCCACAAGATATAGCTAATGTAATAACACTGGAACTGGAGTCCTGCAGCAAATGGTTAGTAGGCAACAAACTATCATTACACCTCGGGAAAACTGAAGCCATTCTCTTTGGCACGAAACATAAACCGAAAAGGGTAAATAATTATAATGTCCAGTGTAATGGGGAACCCATCATTTCAGTTTCCTCAGTAAAATATCTGACCCATGCATGTCAGGAGAACTGAGAGGCAACAGTGTAGTAAAGAAGG